TAAGAGGGGGACGCTGCGGCCACCCCCCCACCTCCTCTCCTCATCCCCCACTCAACCCCCCTTTCGTAAAAGGGGGTTAGTAAGAGGGGACGCTGCGGCCACCCCCCCACCTCCTCTCCTCATCCCCCACTCACCTCCTCCTGTGTTCTTATCTATTCTCCTCTCCTCTCTTCCTCTTGCCTCCTCCTCCTCACGTACCCCTCTGTCGTCTCCCACCGCACCTGCTATACCCCTTCAGGGGGTGTGACTTGCTCTAGCTATGTGCTGCAGGCAGTTAAGGGGGTGTGTCGCGATATATATTTATATATGTTTATAACTGCCTGTAGCTTTAGCTTTAGTGTAGTTATGTTTCTTTGTTGTGGTGGTGCACCTCTTTGTTTCTTTGCTATATGTTCTTGCAAACCTATAGTGAAGACACACATTCTCGATTCTCCCTTGGCACAACTCCCTCGACACCCGTTTGGCCTAGGCTACTAAGCCTAGGCCCTTAGTTAAACCCGTATTCTAGTTAAGATCGTATCGTAACAGTGAGTCCACTGCTCCAGGTGCTGGTGAGTCTGCCCTCTCTGGTATTGCGCCTGCTGCGGCCTTGCACACCTTCACGCTTGACTCAGGAGCTTCCCGCTCCTTCTTTCGTGACTGCACCACACTCACGCCACTCAGTCGGCCGGTTGCAGTCTCCCTGGCTGACCCCTCTAGGGGTCCAGTCCTTGCGCACTCCTCTACGGTTCTGCCATGTCCGGCGGTCCCGTCTGGCTCACTGTCGGGTCTTCACCTTCCCTCGTTCTCTACGAACTTGGTGAGTGGGGCTGACCTTCAGGACATGTGGGTTGACCAGTTCACTCCTGGAGGTCAGCGGATGACCCACTGTACGTGCACACCGACGGGCCAACACCTGGCCACGTTCACCCGGTAGCCTGGGTCGAGCCTGTACACACTGACTACTGTGTCTCCTCCGGTTGCTGAGTCTGGTTAGGTCGCTGCGTCGGGTCAGGTGTTTGCTGCAGTGTCCCGGTCTGGTCCTGAGTCTCCCCCCTGCTCGTGTAGCCTCCTGTCTCACCAGACTCTCCTCTAGCACCACCGCCTTGGTCACCCCTCCCTGCCTCGTCTCCGAGGCATGGCCTCCCGTGTCCTTGTCACTGGTCTTCCCCGGTCTCCCCCTCCCCTTCCCCCGGGGCCTGCCCCTACCTGCGTTCCTTGCGTCGAGGGGTGGCAGCGCGCCGCTCCTCACTCCTCCGAGTTTCCTCCGACGGAGGCTCCCCTGCAGACTCTTCACAATTACGTGTGGGGCCCAGCCCGCGTCTGTGGACAGGGTCACGAGCGCTACTTTCTGCTGGTCGTTGACGACTACTCGCGTTACACCATAGTCTTCCCCTTGCGCCGCAAGGGTGAGGTTACTGAGGTGCTGATCGATTGGATTCGCGCAGCCCGTTGCCAGCTCAGCGAGAGTTCCGGCTCGAACCTTCCTGTTCTGCGTCTGCACTCCGACAGAGGTGGAAAGTTTTCCTCCGACCTCCTGCGAGCCTTCTGTCGTGCGGAGGGCATCCGCCAGACGTTCACGCTTCCGGCCTCTCCACGGCAAAATGGGATTGTTGAGCGCCGCATTGGCATTGCCAGGGACGTCGCTCTTACGTCCATGATCCATGCAGCTGCTCCCCATTTTCTGTGGCCGTTCGCGGTTCAGTACGCTGCGCATCAGCTCAACCTCCAGCCCCGGGTCTCCATGCCGGAGACCACACCTGCTCTGCGGTGGACGGGGAAGGTTGGCGATGCGTCTGCGTTCCGTGTCTGGGGATCTCGAGCTTTTGTCCATGATTTGTCTGCGGACAAGCTGTCCTCCCGTGCTGTTCCCTGCATCTTCCTTGGCTTCCCCCCTGACGCGCCTGGTTGGCAGTTTTACCACCCCACCTCGCGCCGTGTTCTGTCCTCTCAGGACGTCACGTTTGACGAGTCGGTTCCCTACTACCGTCTCTTCCCCTACCGCACTGCCCCCCTCCCCCCCCCGCCACTCTTCCTCGCGCCAGATCCTCCCCCGGTAAACTCCTTCCCCCCTCAGGGTCCTACCCCCTCAGGTGTGTCCTAGGTAGACGCAGTCGAGCCTGTCGAGGTAGCTGTTGACTCTGGTGCTGCTAGGGGTGCTGAGCCTGCGGGTGCCGGGTCTGGGGGTGCTGAGCCTGAGCGTGCGGAGCCTGGGGGTGCTGAGTCTGGGGGTGTTGAGCCTGGGGGTGCTGAGCCTGGGGGTGCTCGGCCTGCGGTTGCTGAGTCTAGGGGTGCGGAGCCTGAGGGTGCTGAGCCTGCGCGTGTGGAGTCTGGAGGTGCTGAGCCTGGAGGTCCTTCGGGTGCTTCGTCCCGACGGGACCCACTCTCTCCTCACCAGCTGCGCGAGTGGTTTGCTCGGCGCTGGAGCCGTGCTGCTGGAGCTGGTGGTGCTACGGGCGCTGGAGGTCCTGCTGCTGCTGGAGCTGCTGGGGGTTCTGGAGCCACTGGTCCCGGAGGTGCTCGTACTGGAGGTACTCGAGCTGCTGGGCCTGGTGGTGCTGCTGGAGCAGGAGCTGCTGGAGGTGCTGGAGCTGGCAGTGCTGCTGGAGCAGGTGCTGCTGGAGGTATTGGAGCTGGCGCTACTGGAGCTGCCGGGGCTTCTGGTGGTCCTGCTGGAGCTGGAGCCGCTGGAGGTGCTGGAGCTGGAGGTGCTGCAGGAGCCGGTGCTCCTGTGGGTTCTGGAGTTGGCGCTACTTGAGCTCTTGGAGGTGCTGCTGGAGCTGGAGGTGCTGCTGGAGTTGGAGCTGACGCTTGGGGTGCTGGTGCTGTCCCTGCTGGTTCTGGAGGCGCTGCGCGGCCGCGGTCGTACTTCGTTCCTCTCCTTCAGCAAGTTCTTGGTCTCCCGCCTTCTACTGGTCCTGCTCCTTCCTTAGAGTGTCCACCGCCTGTCCAGTCTCAGTCACAGTTGTCAACGGGAGTTGTGTTTGGCCCCGTCCTCGCTTGGGCGGATCCGCGAAACCACGGGGGACCGTGGGAGCCGCGAAACCACGGGGGACCGCGGTGGCCGCGAAGTCACAGGAGGACCTCGGTGGCCGCGAAGTCACGGGGGGACCACGGTTGCCACGAAATCGCGGGAGGACCGCGGTGGCCACGAAATCGCGGGAGGACCGCGGTGGCTGCGAGATCGCGGGAGGACCGCGAAATACCCGGCCAGCCAGGATACCCGGGCGACGCGCGCGAATGTCGCCAGGGGTGTTTTCTGCAAGTACGATTTCGGGGGTGGTATCCCGAGGTCGACGTGGCTGGTGGGCGCCGTCACGCGTGGAGTGTCTGCGCTGGGTGTGTGACGGGGAGTTGGGCGCCAACCAGCAGCGCGCACCTGCGAAGCTGGTGCACCGTTGTCCCGCGGATGCATCGCTGTGCAGCCGACCTACTGCAGCGTTGGCACACCGCGGACAGGCAACATTGGCAAGCCGCGACTCTGCTCTGCTGGAGCGCGGTCGACCAAGTCGTGCTGGCACGCGGTCGACCGTGCTGCGCTGGCAGTCGACCAGCAGCCTTGCTAGGTCTGATGTAGTCTGTGTTGCCAATGTTGATGCTAATCATTCTGAACTATTGTTGTCAACTTTCTCTAGTGAAACTCTTGCCAATTCTCCCCGTGAACTAGCAAGCAGTGTGTGCACTAGGAAAACGACTAAGGACCAACGAACGCAGAGATCACACGAGCACCCGTGCCTAGCCCGTAGTATTGCTCCCGTTGCACTAGTTATCTCCGCATGGTGCGGTGAGCGTGGACGACACCGCTAAGAAACCTTCGGTTTAGCTGACTTCTCACTCACCCCATTTGTTCGTAGACCGGCGGCTGTGTTAGACGCCATGGTGGACCCCGTAGTAGAGGCGGGTGTCGTGGACACCTTGGAAGCACGGCTGGAGAACGCGAGGAGACGTCATGCGGCGAACGAGTACGGAACTCTCCCGCTGACGGTGGTGACGTTGTGATCCACCCTGAGCTTGCTTTGCTTTGCTTGACTGGTCTTGTGACCCCTTGTTCTCCCCCACTTTGCCTATGGGGGTGTGTCAGACTTATATGCTATAGTCTGTGTAGGCTGTAGTGGGGTAGACAATATGGGATACAACACTTTTAGGTTTTCCTACTTGTACCCACCTGTTTCCTAGTGCATTCATTCCTCGTTATTTCACAACTTTGACTATGGGGGTGTGTCAGAATGTGATATTTGTCTAGCCTGCAGTGGGGTACTCTATAGCGAGTATATCCCAAATTAGGGTTTCCTAAATGTATTCAACTGCCTGCTAGTGCAAACCCCTCTTCTGCTGTTCTTCTCTCATGCTATTACCCAAAACCCTAACTATGGCTACTAAGTACTAGGTACTATTCTTGACAATTTCGTAACCGTCTGGAGTCGCACGGTTGGAGTTTGTTGTAATAAGGGAATATACCTCTTAAGGGAACATTCCTGAAGCGCGTCACAAAAGCATCGCGTCTCAAACGACTAGATACAGTGCGGTGTAAATGTTCGATTCTTAGATGCAATGCGGTGCAGAACGATACGTAGGTTTTATGACGGGATTGAGACACTTGTGTCCCCAAGGAATGTTCCCTTCGAGTACACGGCTAGCTACATGTCGTTTTGTATTCCCGTGTACTCTTATTTATACGAATGTATTTTCATAGCATGTTTCAATCATCTCAGCCATACGGTATGAAATCCACTCTGATCTGATCTGAGGTAAATTTCTTTCCCTGCAACAATTTGTTTTCGCAAACTTTCCTAAGGTGATCCTTGGCACGATCAACCTTCTGATCTGATCGCAACAATCTCAACCCCCAACACTGATCTGGATGCGAATTTGGGCAGGGCACAGTGATCCATCAGCATGCCCAGAAACCAATCTGAGAGCCTGTTTCTAACAATAACGCCCAAGAAGACTTGTGCAAGAAGATTGCGGGGTGGCATTCATGCTGATGCTTCATAACACATTACATCATTAGCCATGATAGATCATAGGTCTGAACTTTGATCAGAGTCCATATTCGGATCCTTGCTGCCGGTATCAACGAGTGCTGAAACGGGGGCACAGCATAGTGTGACAGGGTCGAGACGAGAAAGGCGTAAGGTAAGTGAACTTCAAGTATTGCAGAATCGTTGAATGCTTTGCACATACAGTAATGCGTATGCATGGGTGTTGACGGAGGGATGCAGATGTGTGGGTGCAGGCATCAAGTATGTAAAACTTAACCATTCGCATGCATGTGTGTTGTGTGCGCTGCGTGTACTCTTACATGCAATGGAGGGCATCATCAGGGATATAATCACTTCCTTCTAGAACCCAAGTTATCCAAGTTCCAAACCCACTGGTACCGTGCGCCTTGTGTGCTCAGCTCACTCCCATCTCCCAGTCTCACCGTATCCAGTGTGAGTGGCACCAGGCTTGCTGGTGAGCAGCATGAGGCGCCTCTGCAGCACAGCAGCGGTGGTGAGGAAGGCACAGCACATGGCGAACATGGGTGTCATGGCTCCCGCACTCACCTGCTTGAGGGGGGGGAAGGGTGGATCGGAATGATGGGGCATTGGGCGAAGAGTAGGGGCTGGGAAAATACGGAGGAGCGGAGGGGAGTAGGGGTACAGGAACTCCTAGGGGACAGCATGGTGTTGATAACTGTTGATGAAAGGCACACACACGGACGGACGGACAAGGATGGACAACCCAAAGCACTGCTTCATGTATTCATTCACCATGCACACACGCACAGCCGAGCATGATGCACATTGCCTCAGGGGAATGCACATTGCCTCAGGGGAATGCACATCAGAGAGCATGATGCAGACGAAGATGTTGTGAGAACAGCACAGCACAGCCTAGCCCAGCCCAGCACGGCACGGCACAGCCCGGCACGGCACGGCACAGCCCAGCCACGCGCCACCACACAGCACCGCACACCACAACACAGCAGAGCAAGGCCCCAGAGGCACGCACATCAAAGAGCATGAGGCAGACGAAGATGTTGAGCGGGATGCGGAAGCAGTTCATGATGGTGGCACAGGGAAGGCCCGTCGCATCATGTTAGTCGACTCAAACAGCTGTTGTGCCAACACATTACAGTGGCACGGTCATCGCACTCCCATTCGGCCTACAAGCCTGCTCAGCTTCTGGAATTTTGTGGGGAGGTTGTTCAACACGTTTTCTTCAAACCCTCAAAGTTTCAGAGTTTTTGAAGCAGTTACCAAGGCATGACAACATTTTATGTTTCAAGACTTATGGCATCCCGGAAGTGTGTGTTACTCCTTTTTGGTAACACCCGAGTTCACCATTTCGGCTGCTGACTCGTCTACCGAGATCTGATTGGTCTGAAATTCGGTCTGGCAGTCCTTTGCCCCGCTGTGCAAGTGGTCACCAAGTTTCAGAACGATCCAACATCTGAGCATTGCGTGACAGCTGCCGAAATTCACTGTTCCGTAGTCATGGTGCACTGTTGGCAGCATTTCCCTTGCCACCCTTTCATTGTTGTCATGCCAATGGTGCAGGGACAGAGAATGAGACAAGAAGTACAGGTGGTCAAGTGGGACTCTATAACCCTCCTTTTGAGAAGTGTGGTCTTCCTGGAAGCAACTTGCAAGAGGGTGCAAGTGGGAAGACAAGCTGACTCATGTTGGCTTGACTCACTATTGGTAGCCTTGAGTACAGCTCTGAACATCCAAGTGTGGTTGGCTTTGCTGACCTAGCTAGGACGTTTCCCATTCTTCTCTAGCCTTTCTCCCCTAGGACTCAACCTTCTCTGAGTTCCCAGGATGACCCAACCCCTTATGAGTCCCCTAGGCAATGTTGTACTCACCTCTTCCTTGCATCAATGAGAATACACGTTTTTTCAGCCGAGCTTACGTTTTCGTTCACTGCGTAGTGCACACACCTCTGATAATAGCAAGTAATATACCGTTGGAAAGCAGACACCTAAGGCTAACCGCTGTCCAAGTTTCAGCCTCGTATGTTCTCGGAGCTGATCGTGACGGCGTTTTGAACAGAGGCGGTTTGAAGACGTCAGATTCTGCTTAGGCGGTTTCATGGGCATCCGCGACCCCTAAGTGGACTGCAGACTATAACAAGTGGTATCAGAGCTGTTCTACTCTGTTCGTGGGTGAAAATGGAGGCTGAAGGTTCTGCTCCAGCTGGTCCCAGTGGCAGTGGTGGCGTGAGAGGCGCTGGGGAAGCGGGAAGAGGCGTTGCAGGCGGATCTGCGCCAATGGCTTCAGTTTCAACATCAGCTAAGGATGATGTGAAGGCATTCAACCTGGAGAAGTTCTCTGGGGATGATTGGGCATCATGGAGCTTCAGGATGGAGCTCCTCTTCAACCATTATGGGCTGCTTGAAGTGATGGATGGAGAATTCAAGAGGCCTACGAGCGAAGGAGCGACCAAAGAATGGGATCGCCGGTCCAAGGATGGATTCTTCCTTCTCTCCCAATGCCTCTCATCCAACCAGCTGCACCACATCAAGCATCTCATCAAGGAAGCTGAGTGTGGTCCTAAGGCATGGAGGATATTGAAGGATGTCCATGCCCCCAGCAGCGAAGCAATGGTGGTGGTGCTCGAGCGACAACTCCATGCGGTGAAGATCAACGAGGGTGATGCCGTACAAGGAGCGTTCGATCAACTCCGGGACCTCTATGTGAAGCTCTCAGCTGCTGGTGTGGACTACCCTGAGAAAATCAAGTGCTACAAGGCTCTCTCCCTGCTGCCGGAGTCGTGGGGGCCCTTGGTGGTCAACCTTAATGGGATGAAGGACTCGTGGTCCCTTGAGTGGATTCGCGCACAAGTTCTTCAAGAGGAGTTTCGGAGGAAGGAGCTGACCGCCGCTGCCGGTGAAGGTGGAGGCTCTGCCTATGGCATGAAGGGCTTCAAGGGGCGTGGCAGCAAGAAAGGGAAGGCCAAGGAAGGCTCTGGAGGGGAGCAGCATTCGGGAGGGAAGCGTGGCAACAAGGGAGGCAAGCGGTGTGGCGGCAAGTGTTGGTATTGCCATGTGGAAGGGCACCCATGGTTCAAGTGCCGCAAGCTACCTGACGGTTGGAGGCCTGGTCAACCATCAATTGAGGGCTCCAAGGGTGTTCATGGAGCTATGGGAGAAGGCATGGGCAGTGAGGAGGGCGAAGGAGGTGCTGGCGGATACGGCGGCATGTTCTACCATGTAGGGGAGGCGTGCCCCGAGGACATGGTTGTGCCGGCCAGCAAGATTGCTCTTCACCGCTCCTCCCATTGGGTCATCGACACGGGAGCCTTCATGACCATGACCAACCGAGAGGATCTACTGGATGAAGTTAGGCCATCAAAGGCAGCCACCGTCGTTTCAGCCACCGGCCAAGTTGTACCCGTGCGTGGCGAGGGGAGAGCCATGTTCATGGGTGCGGATGGGAGGCTTGTGGGGCTGAAGCGTGTTCTCCTTGTTCCTGGATTGTGTGCCAACCTCCTCTCTACCAAGGCCCTAAGTGAGGCAGGGATGAAGATGGAGATGTTGGGCACAAAGGTTTTCAAGGCAACTCTGGATGGGCGCGTATTGTGGGACCTCCGAGGCGGCAAGGACATGCACCGGTCCATGTGGGAGATACCGGTGCTGCCATGGAAGGAGGCGGCTGCGCGCTTGGCTGCTGGAGATGTGAGAGGAGGGCGTGTTAACCACGTGGACAATGGAGGGGGTGGTGATGACAGTGATGGTGGGCTCCTTGGGCATGGAGGGGCTGCGCTTCCAAGTGTAACTCCTAGCACGGGTGAGACGGATTGGCTCACCGCACACCGTCGCTTTGGCCACGTGGCGCTACCTCAGTTGCAGCAGCTGTTTAAGGAGGAAAGAGTCAAGGGGCTGAGGATAAAGGGGGAGCCCAAGGAGGTGGGATCTTGTGAGACTTGCTTGACCAGCAAGTTTTCACGGTTTCCCTTCCATTCGGTGGAGGGGAAGTCGAGTGACCCGGTGGAGCTCGTGCATGTGGATCTCGTGGGACCCATGAAGGTGAAGGGAGATGGTGGGGCCCTGTATTCTATGACCATGGTGGATGACAACACAAGGCTCACCTGGTCCTTTCCACTTGCAAAGAAGAGTGATGCTGCAAGGGTCATCATTGAAGAGTGGCTGCCCATGGTGGAGCGAGAGAGCGGCAAGCGGGTGAAGGCGATACGTAGTGACCGTGGTGGGGAGTTCTTGGGAGCGGAGTTCCGGAGCTGGCTGAAGCGGCATGGCATCAAGCAGCAGCTCACCACGGCCTACACCCCTCAATCCAATGGCGTGGCAGAGAGAGCGAACCGGACCATCTTGGAGGGCGGGAGAACGATGTTGGTAGACTCGGGTCTACCCTTACGGTTCTGGCCCCTCGCTATTCGCCATGCCACCGTCATCAAGAACCGAGTATTGACTCATGTGGGAGGGCAGCATTGGGTCCCTATGGAGAAATGGAGGGGCAAGAAGCCTCTGGTGGATATGCTTCGAGTCTTTGGGTGCATGGGACTCGTGCACGTCCCTAAGGAAAAGCGTGACAAGCTTCAAGCGGCGGCGGTGTGGGCTGTTCATTTGGGACTTGCACAAGGGAGCAAGGGGTGGCTCATGTGGGACCCAATAGCCAACACCATCTTCACCACCAGAGATGCCAAGTTCATGGAGGGGCTCATGTTCAAGGAGTGGTTGGAGCGAGGGAGGAGCAAGGTCACCATTCCGCTCGGAATAGAGGTGGGAACGAATGACCCACTCTTCATTCCCATCGAGTTGTCTTCGTCTTCAGAGGTAACGGAGGTGTCACATGACTTGGGAGGTGCTGAAGGGGAGGCAGTAGAGGTGGAGGGAGTGTTGCAGCAAGAGAAGGCCCCTGTAGCTGAGAGAGGTGATGCCGAGGAGGAGGTGCAGCAGCCTACACCATCCCCTACTCTTCCACCAAGGCGGACAACCCAAGGGAAGCGTGGTGCTGTCCGTGGTGGAGCTAAGGAGAGTGCAGCCAAGGAGAGGCCCAAGAGAGCTGCTCACCCAAGGGATTTCCTCAAGTATGAAAGGCTTGGGGGTCCCAAGGCATTGCTGGTCCAGGAGGAGGAAGATGATGAGGAGAAGGGAGCCGAGGGAGAGATGGAGCAGATTTGTTGCTTCGGTGTCAACTTACCTCATGAACCGGCTTCGATGGAGGAAGCACTTGCTGGAGATGATCGAGAGGCTTGGTTGGCTTCAAGGGAGGATGAGTTTAAGAGCCTCATGGAGAATGGAACGTGGACCCTCACCAATCTGCCCCCGGGAAGAAAGGCATTGGATTGCACGTGGATATTACGTGTGAAGACCGATGCGGAGGGGAAGTTGGAGAGGCGCAAAACAAGACTTGTGATCAAGGGTTTCCAGCAGAGGGAGGGGGTTGACTTTAAGGAGGTGTTTGCTCCTGTTGCCAAGGCTCCTACGCTCCGGGTGTTGCTGGCAGCAGCTGCCGTTTGTGGTTGGAAGGTGGAGCAAATGGATGTGAAGACGGCTTTCCTCTATGGCGTGGTAGATGAGGAGATTTACATGAAGCAGCCA